AGAGAGAGAGAGAGAGAGAGAGAGAGAGAGAGAGAGAGAGAGAGAGATCGGATTATAAGTCAAACAGGAAAAATTTTGGTAGTTAAACAAGAGTGAAATGAGAATCTGTAGTCGTTTCTTTGAGTCTCGCTAAAGTTTCACAGATTGCAGCCATATCCCTTCTCCCTCTTCTGCCACGCTACTCACTAGTGTTCTAAGGAACACTATATTTCGCATCTGGAATCCTTATTTAGAATAAAAATTATTTTTCTCCGGACACCACACAAGTGTTCAAAAGCACATAATGTCTTCTACATGGTTTCAGACACTGTATGCTTTTGAACACACCTGTACTTGTGCGGTATCCGGAGACAAATCATTTTCGTCTTAAATAAGGATTCCAGGTGCAAAATATAACGTCCTTCATTTAAAAAATGGTCTTACGGTCATATAGCGAAAGTGACTTGAGTACGAAAAATTAGTTAAGAAACACTAAATGACTAGCAAACGTTGCAATATCATATATATTTTGTATTTCATCAATATAATTGTCAGAGAGACAAAATTTCTACCTGGAGTATTTATGAAATTTAGTAGAAAAGTCTCTTTGTGGCGTCCATTTAGATTAAAACCAGTCACACTTCTTATCCAAATTGGCTGTGGTAGACAAAAAAGACTAAACACGAGAGGCAAACGAATACATAATCCTCACACCTACCTAAATTAACTTGCAGAATACTGCTGTCGTAAATTCTACGTACCACAGACAATTTTCTAGCAGATACAAACAACAGCGATAAATTGTAACGATGATATTTGAAATTCTACCTGGATCAGCAAAATATTTTTTTTTTAGTATACTATTTCAATCCTCTCTGAAAAATAATTATAAATTGTACACCATGTAAAAAAAGTTATTATAAATATTTTGATACTAACTGATTTTATAGTTCTTTTTTATTGCATTAAAGTATTATAATATCCCTATAACCTATTTATACTAGCTCTTAAAAAAATTCTTATTATCCTAAAATTTTTGGAAATTTTTATGCAGACATTTTATGCAGGCATTTTAGGCATTTTTACGCCTCTTTCTTCCCACTTCGTCTCTTCGTCGAGGAATTTTAAAGAAGCCCCCTTAGTAGTTTTGCATTATTTCAGTGTTTTTTACGAATGATCTTACGGAACTTCTTCTCTACAAGCGCGTGTTGCGTTGCAATCATTCTCGATTTTATTTCATTTTCTACTCGAGTTTCTCAGAGAGAGAGAGAGAGAGAGAGAGAGAGAGAGAGAGAGAGAGAGAGAGAGAGAGAGAGAGAGA